GCCATTTCTTTAGCAATAGTCGTCAAAGGTCAAGAATTAGGGTTTCTCCTATGTTATATTTGAGCTTCGTATTAGATCTTCAACAGAGGTTCATCATGCTAGGTTTCTCCTCATTAATTTCTCCACAAGACTTTCATTTCAGGAATTTGAGGATTTAGTCAAAGACTTCTTTCTTGTGATGCTATTTGTTAAATGGTTAAGGAATGACTGAGGCTTTCACCAAGGCAAGATGTTGTTTATTATTCAGTTATGGATTTGAATTCCATCAACCTTTTAGACATGATAAGATTGCTTCTTGAATTTTTGACCCAAATGAAGATTAAGGATCATTGAAATTAGGGTTATCATGGTCATATGTTCCTTTTTTATGCTCCAAGTACCATTCATCTTCTAATATTCAAGGCATGTTTTTGTCATATTAGATTAAAGTATGAGTATAAGGGTTTGAGATGAGCTTGTGGATTTATTTGGATCAAGACATTTTATGCTTGAAACGCAAGAACGTGATCTCCTGAGTTTATTTGAGAAATGGAGAAATTTGGATTCATTATTTGTTCATTCAATTCGCTTGAAGGTGCTCAAATGAATCAGAAGCTTTTAATGCTTGCGAAGTTGGAAAGATAAAGGTATTATTTTAAAGTGAAGTTACAAGTTACTATCAAAGGTTTCATACAAGATTCACAAATTGAAAATTTGAAAAAGGATGTGGGGATTTAGATGTGAAGAGAATCTAATTTAGAACCAAAATTTGTTCATAAATGGTTCAAACTACAGTCAACTATCTAAATAGATCTCTTTACATGATACAAATTAAAAGAAACTTGGAACTCCTAAGTCTTAAATTTTTAACTATCCCATGCTTTCCTTAGCCAAATCTCAGTGTTCACAAAAAGCTTGCATTAAGATCATGTTGAGCTGCCTTGCTAAAGTTGTGCCCCTTAAAACCTGTATAAATAGAACCATTAAGAAGGATAAGTCCATATCATCATGCCAAAAAACAAATCACTGTCAAGACTATTAGAACATAATTTAGTTCTACATCCCAGCAAGAGTTTTGATGATAATAAACACATGATATAAAGAACAAATATGCTTGCTAATAATAAGTATCCTTACATGAAGAAGTTCTGATTTGAAAAAGATGTTCTAATGCAACTGGAAGATCTGCCAGAACATCATCAGAAGTTCTAATTATGCAAGCACATAAGTTGAGTGGACTATGAAAGATTCAGTAGCATCAAATATGCATAACACGTTTATATGAAGAAGTTCTGTTTGGACTTCTGAATGCACCAACGCAGCAAAACAGAATATCTGATACTGTCTCTCAAGCGTTACAACTCCATAAATGCAAGATCATATGCAACGGCTACAAACAGACAAGAATCTCCTGTTTTGGAAAGCTCATTAAACGCGTGTTATGGACATACCAAAAGTATCCTCTTATGTCTCTATTGCAAAGCCTATATAAAGAAGACTAGAAGAAGATTTCAAAGGAGATGAACAACGACACAAAACGTGAAAAGTCAGTAAAGCTACAAACAGTCTTCATCTTCATTAATTCATTATTAAGCTGTGTAATACATCACAAGTTTGTGATACTGTTTATTTAGAAACACCTTTGTACACTTTTATATACAATTATCTGTTTAGTGAATTTCCTTGAGGAAACCGGGTTGTGGTTTCAGACTCAAGAAGGCTTTAGCAGTTGCTAAAGCAGTTGTAATATTCAGTTGAATATAGTGAATTAAGTCCTTGTTGGAGAGAGGCGAGATCACCTTGGCGGGTGGACTGGAGTAGTTTGAGGTCAAAAGAACCAGGATAAAAATACAGTGTTGTCTGCACTTGATTTCCAGTTTTACAATTCAACCCCCCCTTCTTGTGTTTTTCACTTCTTCAATTGGCATCAGAGCGTCTGGTTCTGAGCTTTTAAACACTTAACCATGACAGTACAAGATCCAGCGTAAGAAAAACACTATGGTGGGAACGAGTCAGAACATCAGCATTAGTCCTCCAATGTTTGACGGTGAAAATTTTGACTACTGGAAGGATATGATCAGAAGTTTCTTCCTAGCTTATGATGCTGACCTCTGGGATGTGGTAACTGATGGATACATACATCCTGTTGCTGAAAGCGATCAGAAGATTGACAGGAAAGCAATGTCTGATCAGCAAAAGCGTGATTTCAGAAATCATCACAAGGCCAGAACGATTCTCCTGAGTGCCATCTCATATTCAGAGTATGAGAAGATCACAAACAGAGAAACAACTAAGAACATGTTTGATTCTCTAAGAATGACGCATGAGGGCAACTTGCAAGAAAAAGAAACCAAAGCCCTTGCGCTCATTCATAAGTAAGAAGCCTTCAGAATGGAAGAAGACGAAAACATTAAAACAATGTTCTCTAGATTCCAAACTCTGGTGGCAGGGCTAGAGGTGCTGGACAAAGGGTACTCAACTGCGGATCATGTAAAAAAGATCATCAAAAGTTTACCAAAACAGTAGAGGCCAATGGTCACAGCGCTGAAGCTAGCTAAGGATCTCAATACAATCTCTCTGGAGGAACTTGTCAGCTCCCTTAGAAGTCACGAGATAGAGCTCGAAGATGATGAGCCTCAGAAGCAATGTAAGTCTCTCGCTCTGAAATCTAACAAATATAAAACCAAACTTTTGCAGGCAGAAGCAGAAGCAGAAAAGTTAAGAGAATCCTCATCAGAATAAGAAGAACTGTCTTCTCTATCTAGAAGAGTCAATCATCTATGGAAGCACAGGCAGAAGAAGAAAAGCCTCATGGCAACATGGGATGATTCGGACACCTCTGAAGCTGACTCAGAGTCAGATAATGAAAGAGAAAACATAGCTCTCATGGCAAACATATCAGAAGATAGTGAAGCCTCTGGTTCAGACTCAGAATCACACACTAAAGAGGTATTCCCTAACTTTGCAATTAATCTGTCTAAAACTGATCTTGTAGAAAGTCTGAGCGAGATTCTGGAATGATATCAGCAGCTCAGAGTCAAATGCAAGAACCTGAAAAAGGATATTGCCTCTGACTCTGAAGAAACTGAGAGTCTGAGATTAGAAAACTCTGAGTTAAAAGAAAAAATTTCAAAACTAGAAAATAATTTACAAAACTCTCAGAAGTAAATAATCTCAGAGGATCCCATTAATGCTGATAAGATCATAAAGGAATATGATCAAAGCTTTCAGAAGTTTATGACTAACAACATAGATAGAAGCAAAATGGCTTCAATGATCCATGGAGTCAGCAAGAATTGTAGAATAGGTATAGGATACAAAGGAAAAGAATCCCAACCTAAGAAAGTTAATGATTTGGTTATCAAACGCACTTTTCTCTATTCTCACTTCACCACTGAACAAACACACGATATCAAACATGTTGATAAGGCGTTTCATACTAAACCAAAATTCAAACGGAATCTTGGAAACTCTAACAGTCACGAACCCAGAAAGATATAGGTACCAAAAGACAAAATCATCTATGTTGCAGGTATTTTTAACAGCAAGGTTGAAACTCCTGTATTAACACCTGGACTTTGGATGCTGTCTACACATAGAGGAAAGAAAGCATATGTTCCAAGGCCTGGAATTTAAAAGATTCGCAGGTTTAAGAGGCAATCAGAAACAGAAGATTACTGGCTCTGAAGCTATTTGAAACAGGAATGGAAATACAGCATCAGAAGCTCTCTAAAGTATCTCAGAAGTATCCATAAGAGGATGTCACACTTCTTAAAGAACTTCTGTCAGAGCAAGCCAATAAGAGTCTTTACCACTTTTTGATTCCTGACAAAAAGGGGGAGAATGGAGAATATTTTATGTTGACTCATAATTAGAAGATCGTCAGGGAAGTATTTTATTTTCTTCATAGCTGAGTACTCTACTCAGGGGGAGCCTTCCTTTTAATTTTTGTTCTTTATTTTCCATCAAAATATACTAGTTTTTGTCATCATCAAAAAGGGGGAGATTGTTAGAACATAATTTAGTTCTACATCCCAGTAAGAGTTTTGATGATAACAAACACATGATATAAAGAACAAATATGCTTGCTAATAATAAGTATCCTTACATGCAGAAGTTCTGATGTGAATAAGATGTTCTAATGCAACTGGAAGATCTTCCAGAACATCATCAGAAGTTTTGATTATGCAAGCACATAAGTTGAGTGGACTATGAAAGATTCAGCAGCATCAAATATGCATAACACGTTTATATGAAGATGTTTTGTTTGGACTTCTGAATGCACCAGCGCAGCAAAACAGAATATCTGATACTGTCTCTCAAGCGTTACAACTTCATCAATGCAAGATCATATGCAACGGCTACAAACAGACAAGAATCTCCTGTTTTGGAAAGCTCATTAAACGCGTGTTATGGACATACCAAAAGTATCCTCTTATGTCTCTATTGAAAAGACTATATAAAGAAGACTAGAAGAAGATTTCAAAGGAGATGAACAACGACACAAAACGTGAAAAGTCAGTAAAGCTACAAACAGTCTTCATCTTCATCAATTCATTATTAAGTTATGTAATACATCACAAGTTTGTGATACTGTTTATTTAGAAACACCTCTGTACACTTTTATATACAATTATCTGTTTAGTGAATTTCCTTGAGGAAACCGGGTTGTGGTTTCGGACTCAAGAAGGCTTTAGCAGTTGCTAAAGCAGTTGTAATATTCAGTTGAATATAGTGAATTAAGTCCTTGTTGGAGAGAGGCGAAATCACCTTGGCGGGTGGACTGGAGTAGTTTGAGGTCAAACGAACCAGGATAAAAATACAGTGTTGTATGCACTTGATTTCCAGTTTTACAATTCAACCCCCCCTTCTTGTGTTTTTCACTTCTTCAAAGACAAGTCAAACAATATATACAGACCTGCAGTAATTAAAGAGGCAGTATTCTTTTGGAGCATGTGCTAAACTCCTAAAAAGGGTTCACCTAATTGCTATTATACCAAACCAGATAAACCAATTTAAAACTAGCAAAGACTTACTGTATATGAAGCTAACTCGCGGATGCTACCAACGCCAAGGCCTGTTCCATGAAATAATCCAAAAGTCAGATGAAACTGAGAATGAGAATAGAGATGTAGATTGCGCTATTGTATTGTCGCTTGCAGAAGAGAATCAAAAAGTGAATGGTTGTAATATTGAGATTGGTTATGGGCGATATCTAAAATGCTAGAGTGCATTCTAGCATCCTGAACGCTTCCGCTTCCGAGCTTAAAACCTACCAATCTCTGAGTATGAGTTTTTCCATGCCAAGAAACCATCCTTACCAAAAAGCATGCTATAAGGGAAGATATCATCCAAATAAGATGTCTGCAAGCACTTCGGCATACCCATTCTGGAACCGGAATCATTGCCTTTGTACTTCAATCTGAAACCTACTCGTATACCGAACATGTATATTAACTAACAAGAGCTCAACAAAATGAGGGTTTGAAGCAAAATAGAAGAAGAAAACATAGATGAAAGTTTTTGAATATGGATTTAGAAATCAGAAAATAACAGGACACGAGTTGAGTGCGAAATCAAAGCAGAAAAAGGAAGGAAAATCAGGAAGACTTCCTAACATTCAAAATATCATAGAGTTCCCAAAACAAACTGTTACAACAGAAATTGTCCATCCCATCAACATATAACTAACTCTCTAACACCTCTAACCGTAATTTCTAACGGCTAACAGATTGGTAACAAAATTGGGAAGGCTAACAGATTGGTAACAGAATTGAAAACAGATTGGTAATAGAATAAAAAACAGTTTGGTAACAGAATGAGAGAAAGAAAATGACAAAAAGGATTCACCTGGCCACTATCGCAGTCTCTCTTCCACTCTTGAACGAGCATGCAACATCTTCATCTTGAACCTTCAACCACCAATCCAAAATCCACTCTGCATCTTCTTTCAATCTTGAACTTCCATTCTCTCTATCATCTTCAAACCTTTACCCTTATTCTATGGAATTCCCCAACCTCACAAAACGCTTTATTCACCAAGCTCTATTAGAATTCACGTTGAACTATAATAGTAGTTAAGCTAAGCCACCATCAACCTCACTCTTCGGTACTTCACTTTCGTCTTCTTTTGTCTCATGTAGTCATCACCACACTCGCGAATCCGGATCCCCAACTCACAACAATAACCAGCATAACACGGGTATTCAGAGACTTCAAATAAGTAAGAAGTAGAGGAAGAAGAAGAAAATAAGAGTCAGTTGATACTTGTTATTACCTGACATCTCACTGAAGATTCTCTGGTTTTCTGCTTCTCTGACTCTGTTAACGAGCATCGTACTCTTCTCCGGTTGGTAAGCCCTCTAGTTTTTATTTCTTCGCAGTTTCTTATACTTCTTCATACTGTTGTGTGATACGAAGTCAAAAGGTTTCGAGCTTCAAATCTTTGATTTTGCCAATTAAGTTTTGTTTTGGGAATCTAGGGTTTCAAGTTTTTCTGTTTAGATTTGAAGTGGATAAAATAGAATTGGTGAAAACTAGGTTTGGGATCGAACTCAGGGAAGAGGACAAAGAGAGAGATGTAGGGATTTTGGTAATTGTCGAAGCTTCACCGCCGCCGGTGCAGAGGAGTGATTTTCGGCAAAGGTTGAGTTGAGAGGAAGAAAAGAGAAAATCTGGGGAAGGAAGTTGAATAGTCGCATTTTGAACCCTAATTTTTTTTACACTTTTAATTATTTTTTTTAGTAAATAAATTTTAAATGTATAGAAACATAGATAATGGACCGAATGGCACTACTATCTGGGCCTGTTACGGTTTTTTAGCAGCTGGAAATAATTTAAAAAAAACAGATTTGGCCCAATGTATCAATTCTTGTGTCGCTTGAGATTTTTGTAGAAAAAAAGTTGTTTTCATAACAATTGCTGATGGGCCTGCGCCTAGAGCTTGTTATACATACTCCCTGATTATAACTTTCACCTCCTTGATTTTTTTCTAATTTATTATTTCTTTTTTTAGCTTTTATTTTTGTTTAAATTTCTTTCGACTTTCTTAGTAAAAATAGTACGAAAATAATACATGTAATAAAACAATAAAAAAATATGCAGAATTTAGGAATTCCTTTAAAAAAAATTTAGATAATGAACTACAAAAATTAATGAAGTTGTTTTTTAGGCTATCATTTGAATTTTTTTTAGAAAATTAATTCCTAATTTTTTTTTACTTGAAACTTGTGATTCACCTTTGCTTGTTGAGTTGAGTCTTATGTAGGTTCATTATCTGATATGCGGATGTTTTTGGATTCCGATTGTGATTTATTTTCACATTGATGAAGCTTCGACATATATTTCGAATATTCGATCTCTGACTATTTATTTGTTGACGCTAGCTCGCGCGAAGTATTATGGGTTTCTTTTCTTTGGTTACACTTTTTGCAAACATCATTGTTTGTTTGGTATTATACTGCTTCCAAGTTGTATTTTTGCTTTTATTGCTTTTCTAGATATCATGAGAAGTAGGAAATAAAGTGTGTGCGCTCGAAGTTGCTGTTTAAAGACCTGTAGCAGGCATTCCGCACTTCATTTATCATATGTGCCGTGATTGTGTTTGTCTCCTTTCTTGTTGATCGACGAGTCACTCAATTTAGAAATTAGGATCACGACTTCGCTCTCAGTGCATGTTCTCTATAGGATTTTATCGCTTTCCTTTTATTTCTTGTTGATCGATGAGTCACTCAATTTAGAAATTGAGTTCACGACTTTGCTCTCATTGTATGTTCCCCATAGGATAGTTTATTAGACCTTCTTTGGCATGCTAACTTAGATAGGACCACTCATAATATGATAACATTAGGTTAGAGATAGGTTATTCTCTCTTTAGACTTTTCTTTCTTCCTTTGCATAATTGCATTTAAAACTAAAACTTCTTTTTTCTTGGCAAATGTATAAAGAAAAGTGTTAAGCATATAAAATTCTTTTAATGGTAAAAAAATACCAACCAATCCATTTCTTTTCGCCATTCGGCTTTTCTCTTCTAAGAGCATGTTAGCTCCTTTCCACTACAAGTTGTAAGTCTCCAAAGGTCGAGCGGCGGTGGAATGATCGAATGCAACATTGTTCATTTAAAAAATACAAACAAACAAAATATATGAGCCGAACTACGGCGCTCTGATTCCTTAAAGGGGATACGTAGGCATCTGGTCACGGGGCTCAGCCGAGCGGAAATTTGTAAATACTTCCTTCTTTTCCCCCGTGTTTTATTTTCATGCATTCCTTCTTAGTTTATAACTCTTAGGCATTAGATCGAACACACCTTTTGATTAGAATAACGAGAGTGGATCCCGTAGAGTACTATGGACGTGTGGGGTGCTAATACCTTCTCCTCGCGTAATCGACTCCCTTACCCAATATCTCAGTCGCAAGACCTTGATTTACCCCTTTAGGTTTTTCTTAGATGATTTTCCTTTCCCTTTTATATGGGATAAATAAATACTCTGTGGCGACTTCATTGATTTTACCGCTACATAAAAATGGCGACTTTACTGGGGAGGATATGTCGACCAACTGCTGGTCCATCCCGTGAGTCAATCCTAGCTCCCGTCTTTCTTTTCTTATGGTGTTTATCATTATGCTTTTATGGTTTATTCAGTTGTATATGTTTGAGAACATGTTTGTATTGCATCTTTATTGTTATTTGTTACATTATTGTTGTATTGGTTTCTATGTTTCTTTGTTGGGTGGGTGTTACTATGAGGTAAAAGGCCCAATACTCAGGCTAATTGACAAACAATAGGAACATTAGGAATGGAGTGGAACACGATGGATAGGGGATGTAGATTACTCTACCCGACTGTGTCGTCCATGCTCATATGAGGCTTTAATGAGCTGCTATTGTTATCATATAGGTGTATGATGATAGCATTCTCAAGCGAACCCGTGATTTTGAGTTGCCATTGAATTTACCCTGACCTAGTCTTTACCCGTGAGTGGGGAGGGAATAATATTTATGGGTACAGATGGTGACCATGTTCTGTTGGTGACTATGTTCTGATGGTGACTATACATGTTCTGTTAGTAGCTCTAGTTATACTGATGACTTTGGCTCTTTGGTATTCTGAATTGGTCCAGACCTTTGATCTTGTTACATGTGACCATGGTTCTATTATAAGTTCAGCAACTATCCACTACCTCAGAAACTTCTATCGCACATGTTTACATACATAGCATGTTAATATAATTATCAACATACATGTTTTTTGTTTCCAAACATTACTTCCTTGATTCCAATTGTTAAGACAAAAAAATAAACATCAAAAAATAATATATATATATATATATATATATATATATATATATATATATATATATATATATATATATATATATATATATATATATATATATAACAAATGCATGAAAATAATAATAATAATATTGTGGCTTAATAACTGGAATCAAAGCGTATAGACTTTTGGGAAATAAGAGTGTGGCTGTTGCATTACATGTCATGCATCATGTTACATTTGACTATGCATTTCATGAGTTTCAAAGAAGTCTTACCCAAGGTCCTTTGGTCTTCAGAATCAAGTTGTCTCACCGGTACAACACTCGAGCCAACTCTAAGAAGAAGATGGAAAATCTCGAACAGGAGAATCGGGAACTGCGCGAAGAGGTTACTTCTTTAAGAACTGGAATGGAGAACTTAACTGCTTTGGTAGAGTCGTTCGTGGATGCTCAGAATCAGCCACCACCTCCTCTACCTTCTCATGCTACGCAACAACAACAAGCAATGATTATCTTTGAAATTATGACAACTCCCGTCTCAGTTGCTCGGAATTCTACTGCTACTCCGCACCACATGCCTCCTGGATATCCATGGGAAATGCCTAAAGGTTATACGCCAGAAGGATATAGACCTACTCCTCAAATTTCTCAATCTGCTTAACAAGTTATGGCTTTTGTCCCTCCTGTGGTACACGTTGCTCATACTGTTAACAATGAGATCCGTCATGTTGTGCCTCCAGTAATGAATGTTGTCCCTGTTATTAATGATGTGGTTCACCGTACTACTCCCCTACCAAGTGAAGGGATTGGATTCTATGACATAATGGATGACTTCCAAGATCAGTTTAATGAGATGCGAAAAGAAATGAAGGCCCTCTGGGGAAAAGAACAGTTCGGACAGAACATAAGCGATCTATGCCTAGTTCCAAATGTAGAAGTGCCTGCGAAATTCAAAGTGCTGTAATTCGAGAAATGCAAGGGAAATACTTGCCCTCGTGCTCATCTGGTAATGTATGTGAGGAGGATGTCCACTCACACTGACGATCAATGTTTGCTAATCCATTTCTTTCAAGATAGTCTGACTAGTGTTGCACTGAAATGGTACATGAGCTTGGATAATGCCAATATTCATACCTTCAACGACCTAGGAGAGGCGTTCGTTAAGCAAT